CCCCCCCAAAAAAAAAAATGTGTAAAGTGGTTATCCCACTGGCTATAGGGTGAATGCATCAATTTGTGAGTCGCTCTGGACTAGAGCGTCTGCTAAATGACGTAAATGTGCCCTTGAGCAAGGCACTTAACCCTAATTGCTCCTGTAAGTCGCTCTGGATAAGAGCGTCTGCTAAATGACTAAAATGTAAATGTAAATGTAATTAGTATTTGGTAGCATTGCCTTTAAATTGTTTAACTTGGGTCAAACGTTTCGGGTAGCCTTCCACAAGCTTCCCACAATAAGTTGGGTGAATTTTGGCCCATTCCTCCTGACAGAGCTGATGTAACTGAGTCAGGTTTTTTAGGCCTCCTTGCTCACACACGCTTTTTCAGTCCTGCCCACAAATGTTCTATAGGATTGAGGTCAGGGCTTTGTGATGGCCACTCCAATACCTTGACTTTGTTGTCCTTAAGCCATTTTGCCACAACTTTGGAAGTAGGCTTGGGGTCATTGTCCATTTGGAAGACCCATTTGCGACCAAGCTTTAACTTCCTGACTGATGTCTTGAGATGTTGCTTCAATATATCCACATAATTTTATTATATTATTATAATTTTCCTTCCTCATGATGCCATCTATTTTGTGAAGTGCACCAGTCCCTCCTGCAGCAAAGCACCCCCACAGCATGATGCTGCCACCCCCGTGCTTCACGGTTGGGATGGTGTTCTTCGGCTTGCAAGCAACCCCCTTTTTCCTCCAAACATAACGATGGTCATTATGGACAAACAGTTATATTTTTGTTTCATCAGACCAGAGGACATTTCTCCAAAAAGTACGAACTTTGTCCCCATGTGCAGTTGCAAACCGTAGTCTGGCTTTTTTATGGCGGTTTTGGAGCAGTGGCTTCTTCCTTGCTGAGCGGCCTTTCAGGTTATGTCGATATAGGACTCGTTTAACTGTGGATATAGATACTTTTGTACCTGTTTCCTCCAGCATCTTCACAAGGTCCTTTGCTGTTGTTCTGAGATTGATTTGCACTTTTCGCACCAAAGTACGTTCATCTCTAGGAGACAGAACGCATCTCCTTCCTGAGCGGTATGACGGCTGCGTGGTCCGATGGTGTTTATACTTGCGTACTATTGTTTGTACAGATGAACGTGGTACCTTCAGGCGTTTGGAAATTGCTCCCAAGGATGAACCAGACTTGTGGAGATCTACAATTTTCTTTCTGAGGTCTTGGCTGATTTCTTTTGATTTTCCCATGATGTCAAGCAAAGAGGCACTGAGTTTGAAGGTAGGCCTTGAAATACATCCACAGGTACACCTCCAATCGACTCAAATTATGTCAATTAGCCTATCAGAAGCTTCTAAAGCCATGACATCATTTTCTGGAATTTTCCAAGTTGTTTAAAGGTCAACTTAGTGTATGTAAACTTCTGACCCACTGGAATTGTGATACAGTGAATTATAAGTGAAATAATCTGTCTGTAAACAATTGTTGGAAAAATTACTTGTGTCATGCACAAAGTAGATGTCCTAACCGACTTGCCAAACTATAGTTTGTTAACAAGACATTTGTAGAGTGGTTGAAAAACTAGTTTTAATGACTCCAACCTAAGTGTATGTAAACTTCCGACTTCAACTGTAGGTACAGGTAAGCGGTTTCATAATTTAAATTTTTACAAGAATCGATTGAAGGTGCCTCAATATTGTTGCTAGCAAATCCCAGAACCAGTTATCAAAACTCAACTCCGCCTCGATATAAGAGGACGGAGTGTTCCTCAGCTAGATAAGAGGTAAGAGGTTTTTATTTACATCCTTAATATAACTAAAAACAATGTATTTTAGTAACTGATATTACACTTTTATTTATTAAATATCAATACAGTCATTGCCTGAGCACAGAAGTTGGTGCTATCTCAAAACAAGAACCCTTGGGGTTGAAAATTGGCAGAAAAGCCTATATTTTTGGTTCAAAAGAGATTCAATACTGTACAGTATAGTTTGCATTCTTCTGTACTTGACTTCCCCATCTAGGTACAATTGAGGACATCATGTGACTGCTATCCAACTATTTGAACCCTCATTAGGACATTTCTGTAATAACAACAAATATATCTTCCTGTTGAGTGAATTGGAAAGCTCTTGGGTGATGTACTTTATCTTGGTTATGCAAATCGCCATTTCTCCCTGATTTCCAGGCCCATTCAGATAGGCAAGTCTCAACTATAAGCAAAATAAAGAGCTCTCATCCTTCTCTCATAGTCTGAGCCGGTTACCATGGAGACAGATATCATTCCATACTTGACGTTTCTCATAGAAAAGCCTGCTTACACATTTTCGCCATTTTCATCTGCATCCATAGCGACACTTGACATTGTCCATGCTATTTGGAAAGCCCCAAGTATCCATAGTGACATTATCCATCCAGTGTGTGTGTGTGTGTGTGTGTGTGGATCAGAGTGATGAGTTCAGGCGCAGAATACCTCAGATCATGTCCAATAGTGTCCTGTCAGAGGTTAGGCACTAAGGCACATCACGTTCACTCGTTCCATTGTGTGTTCATTTGACAAACCCATAGGGATGGGTCCCCCCAGATCCCCACAGAGCCATATATTTAGATGTAAATACATGACTCTGGGTCCCCCACTGATTGTTCAGTGAGTAAACCATTCCAACGAATCTGATCCTAATGAACAAATGTGAATAAAATATGACCTCATAGAATAACTCTATACCACCAATCCTACACTATTCTGTTCTATCTTCTACATTGGGTAAATCACAATTTGATACCCTCCTGTTTCTGTTTCTAGTCTTCATAAGTGCCATGTGATGAAAGCTAAGGTACAGGGGCAGAAAACGTATGCGCATGGTTGCAATATTTTATCCAACTGACTTTATTGTTGGTCTCATTTCAATAACCATTGATGTCTGAAATGTCCTTCACTTGCACATTATGATATTTATTTTATCACTAAAAGACCTTGTCAAATGATTGCACTTTTCCCACAGAGATACAATGGTCCCACAACATCACAGCAGCTGTGTGTGTTGTTGACCTCCTGGAATGAAAAGAACAGTGTCATGTGCCACTACCAGGGGTCTTCTTCTCTATTACCTTTTGTAGTAGATTTACTTGCGCTCAAGTTGCAAACTTCCCAGATTTAAAAAGTTGAACTGAGCATATTACATATTTTTTAATAATGTATATCACTCTGCTGTATTTCACCAGCTATTCAATATGCTTCAATATGCTAACTTCAGAATCACTCTTTTTTTTATGAATAGATAGCCTACATATTTCATCTCATGACCCCCCAATAACATGCTTCCACAAACATTTATTTTTAAAAACCATATGCTAGTTTAGGCTATCTTTGCTTTGACAAATTATAATGAATATTTCGATAGTAGCTATTTCTCCACTGTCTTCCTTCCTCCACTGGGATGGAAGACTCATTTGAAGCACACACAGACATATTTTGTCTAGTAATTATTTTTCATAGATGCAGCCCATCTTGTGCGTCAAACTGCACGTCACACTGGTAATGGCCATCCATGGAGCTGTGGTATTGTTGTTTGAAAAAGCACTATCTAGTCATATGGAACGAGTTTGTGGGTATGCAGAATAAAATTGGCACGTCAAATATGACAAATATAGGTAATGTAATTAAATTGTATTCAAATATTTAACCCCCTATTATAAATGAAATATAAGTGTGATGTAGGGCTGTAGTGAGTAGCCTATTCCCACCTATTTTTAGAGTATGAGTGCATGATAAGCATGCAAATTGAAAGCTGTTGAATTAAATAGTCCTAACACTGATAAATGTTGATAAACTGTCAGCAGTACATATCACTGTCTCGAGCGTCTTAACCATCTCCCTATAAACGCAATTCCAGTGATGGCTGGTAGAGATGCGCTCCTCCACAGCGGTAATCAATAGACGAATGCAGGTACCCTGCCTCCACGCACAAGCACTCTGTCGCGCAACCTGGTCTCAGAGCATTTTGTATTATTCTGTATGTAAATCCGAGATATACCATTTGGGATGTTATTTATTAATTTGTGGATGTCCATCATCCATTAGGTATGATATGTTAAGAATAAAAATTTGTATGGTATGTTACGACTTTTGCAATACGTATGATATGTTATGAATTTCAATTTGTTGTGGCTAACGTTAGCTAGGTGGCTAACATTAGCTAGGCTAGGGGTTAGGGTTAGGAGTTAGGTTAGGGTTACGGTTAGGAGTAAGGTTACAGGGTTAAGGTTAGGGGAAGGGTTAACTAACATGCTAAGTAGTTGCAAAGTAGCAAAAAAGTAGTAAGTAGTTGGAAAGTTGCTAATTAGAAAAAAAGGAAAAGCTGTCCATGATGAGATTCGAAGATGCAACCTTTGGGTTTCTAGACGTTTGCGTTATATGACCACCCATCCACCCCAACCAACTACCCTCCTTTCGTGTTTGCATTAAGTAACTGTCTTTTTAACCACACCAAACATAACATATCATACTAATTCGAGTGTCCCTGATTTACATTCACTATGTTACGTCTAGTCTATGAGAACAGGCTGTGTTGCTACATCACCAGTCATTCTGACTCTACCGTGCTGTCTCTCTTATTTCCATCTCCATCAGTACTGCATATGAAGAAGAATCACCAGGATAACGGTTTGCTCCCCCAAAGCATCTAGAGCGCAACGTTTGACCGTGCAGAGACAGTCGCTCTGCCCCTGAGAAAGAGACGAGTGAGACAGCACCAGGACGGAGCACTTGACACCTTGCTTCACCGCATCGATATGCAGTAGTGTGATACTAATTCTGCGGAGATAGAGAAGGCCATTTCATGGCATCCTGATATTAAACTGAAGGGATTGCGCATTCGTGATCAACTGTTGTCTCATTTGTGGTGCCGAACGGATTAATTTGGCTATAGGAGGGGGGGGGGTGGGGGGGGGGGGATTAATAATATCCAGATTTGATCAATAGCCCTGGGATATCGTTGGACCTGTGATGGGCTCCAACGCAGGGGGATATGGAATGGCTCGCTCCGGAATCTTTATGGTTTTGATGGGGTTGTGGAGGTTTATCTCTGCTTGCCCTGCATCCTGCACTTGCACCATCTCAAGGATTGCTTGTATCGATCCTGACCCAGGGATCGAGGATTTCCCTATCCTTACGTTAGATGACATGGAAATGGACATCAACATCACCGATATGTAAGTAAAATAAATGGCTACGCCATTGTAGACATGGTAAAGCCTACAATGAACGTCACAATTGTATAAAGGTTAACGTGTTTAAGCAAACCAATGTCAGATTGCTAAAACAAATACATACAAAAATATTTACGGTGTAAAATCGCAAAATAAGGGGTGTCTACTATGCTATAGACAACTATGCAGGCTGTTAATCTCTCATGTTTCTCCGTTTTGTATAGAGACATGGCCTAAGGAACATCAAGCAAAGATAATAGTGTGGGATAATTCTCATGCTAAAGAGAGTTTTGTGTGTGTGTGTGTGACTGTGTGTGAGCGTGCGTGTCGGGTGGTGTGGTTGCGCGCTGTTGGGAATACTTGAATTAGGGTATCTTCCTCTAGAAATCAGGCCCAAGCAGTGGTAGTATTAAGGCATCTTCCTCTAGAAACCAGGCCCATGCAGTGATAGTGGAAATTATATTATGGAGGATTATGGCATGATGTCGGCCGTGGCCCCAAATTCAGGGACTGTGGGAAACACGAAAAAAACACGATGGAAAAATGTCAGATAAATGGTCCAAATCACTATTATAATGTAGGGTAGCAAATATCACGGACTCAAATCTATGTCGCCCCCACAAAATGCCCAACGTAGCAATGGACTATGGAGTGGTTCTTGTCAATATCAAACACGTATGTAGCTCAAAGTCACAGTGGTATACAGTTGAAGTCGGAAGTTTACATACACTTAGGTTGGAGTCATATAAACTCGTTTTTCAACCACTCCACACATTTCTTGTTAACAAACTATAGTTTTGGGAAGTCGGATAGGACATCTACTTTGTGCATGACACAAGTAATTTTTCCAACAATTGTTTACAGACAGATTATTTCACTTATAATTCACTGTATCACAATTCCAGTGGGTCAGAAGTTTACATACACTAAATTGACTGTACCTTTAAACAGCTTGGAAAATTCCAGAAAATTATGTCATGGCTTTAGAAGCTTCTGATAGGCTAATTGACATCATTTGAGTCAATTGGAGGTGTACCTGTGGATGTATTTCAAGGCCTACCTTCAAACTCAGTGCCTCTTTGCTTGACATCATGGGATAATCAAAAGAAATCAGCCAAGACTTCAGGAAAGAAAACGGTAGACCCCCACAAGTCTGGTTCATCCTTGGGAACAATTTCCAAACGCCTGAAGGTACCATGTTCATCTGTACAAACAATAGTACGCTAGTATAAACACCATGGGACCACGCAGCCGTCATACTGCTCAGGAAGGAGACGCGTTCTGTCTCCTAGAGATGAACGTACTTTGGTGCGAAAAGTGCAAATCAATCCCAGAACAACAGCAAAGGACCTTGTGAAGATACTGGAGGAAACAGGTACAATGGTATCTATATCCACAGTAAAACGAGTCCTATATCGACATAACCTGAAAGGCCGCTCAGCAAGGAAGAAGGCACTGCTCCAAAACCGCCATTAAAAAGCCAGACTACGGTTTGCAACTGCACATGGGGACAAAGATCGTACCTTTTGGAGAAATGTCCTCTGGTCTGATGAAACAAAAATATAACTGTTTGGCCATAATGACCATCGTTATGTTTGGAGGAAAAAGGGGGGACTTGCAAGCCAAAGATCACCATCCCAACCGTGAAGCACGGGGGTGGCAGCATCATGCTGTGGGGGTGCTTTGCTGCAGGAGGGACTGGTGCACTTCACAAAATAGATGGCATCATGAGGAAGGAAAATTATGTGGATATATTGAACCAACATCTCAAGACATCAGTCAGGAAGTTAAAGCTTGGTCGCAAATGGGTCTTCCAAATGGACAATGACCCCAAGCATACTTCCAAAGTTGTGGCAAAATGGCTTAAGGACAACAAAGTCAAGGTATTGGAGTGGCCATCACAAAGCCCTGACCTCAATCCTATAGAAAATGTGTGGGCATAACTGAAAAAGCGTGTGCGAGCAAGGAGGCCAACAAACCTGACTCAGTTACACCAGCTCTGTCAGGAGGAATGGGCCAAAATTCACCCAACTTATTGTGGGAAGCTTGTGGAAGGCTACCCGAAACGTTTGACCCAAGTGAAACAATTTAAAGGCAAAGCTACCAAATACTAATTTAGTGTATGTAAACTTCTGACCCACTGGGAATGTGATGAAATAAATAAAAGCTGAAATAAATCATTCTCTCTACTATTATTCTGACATTTCACATTCTTAAAATAAAAGTGGTGATCCTAACTGACCTAAGACAGGGAATTTTTACTAGGATTAAATGTCAGGAATTGTGAAAAACTGAGTTTAAATGTATTTGGCTAAGGTGTATGTAAACTTCCGACTTCAACTGTATGTATAAGACACAGGTTTCTAGCCATTTATCAGGCTTAGGCCACAATTGTTGAAGTGCCAGAGGTGCACGGGATGAGGTCTGTGTAGAGAAAAGAGTGTGTCTATAGGCCTTACCACTGCATGTTGTTGGTGATAGTGAAGTTTATCAGGCTTGTTATTGTAGCATATGTAGGCCTATAGATGTACAATATTTCAGTACAGTATGTCTAAACAATACAGATAATTCTCAGAGTAAGCTGTAGAGTACAGTAGTGTGCCTGTCACCTATATGGTTCCTCAACAAATCCAGATAGTGAGCAAACTATCCACACCAGCGTGCAGGTGCCAAACATCTAGTCAGGGTGGTGTTGTATCCTGTGTCCGGCCTGAGACCCTGTCCCCCTTCCTTACTTTAATCATAGGGGAACCTTCATTGATGATGGTCTACTGGCATGTCACCTTGGCATACAAGGCATTTTCATTAAATATTATGAATATTTAACATTTAGAATTAATTCTAAACATGTATTAATATAACATACACCACCATCACCAATCCAGGAGTTATGTGCTCTAGTATAAATATGTATCTATCATCGTAGCTGTTCTAATCAGTAGATCAAGTATTTGGAGGAGTGTCTGAAGAGACACTAGTTTCTACCACTATCAAATATATCTATCAAAACAGTTCAGAATCCTGTAACACTGCCCACCATGGGCATAATGGCCAAATACTTTGATATTTCCATATGTTTGAAAATACTATCCATCTATTGTCCCTTTATATCATCAGACACTAAATGCCTTAAAATGGCATGAGAATTAAATGTTAAACCTTGGTGAAGATCTATTGACCAAAACTTTGGTTTGCGATCCATTGTGGACCATACAAGAATGTCCGTGTGCTGGATCTTCTTTATGAAGAATTTTCATTTGAAAGGGAGTGCTATTTAAAGTACTAATTTAGGGACAAGAACATGTGAATAATGTACTTTATTTGTAATAACAATAATTTGTAAACGTTGTATTTCAATTTTACAGATACATTGCAAATCAAAACAGACTATTTGACATCAATGATAACAGCTTGAAGTACTACTCGAATCTCAGAAATCTGTAAGTATTAATACTACTCAAATGTTGTTACGGTCATTATCCAGACTATTGTAGCATGTTATGGAATATTTATAGAGTAGGTTATGCTGAACTTTGTTAATATGTAACAGTGACGTTAAAAATAACACGTTTTCTCTCTTTATAAATCTCCCCCCCTGAACAGAACTGTGACGAATACAGGACTGACTTCTATCTCATCAGAAGCCTTTTTCAACAATACAAGACTTCAATATCTGTAAGTACTGTAGTCTTTGATTGATCCTCTGTTTGTTGTTTTCCTTCTCATCCTTCTCTTCACAGATTGAGCTAATGTACTCTCAAAGAGCAAATCTAGGGGCCACAAGCCAGTCAAAAACAATTAAGGCAAATTCATATTATAGGGAAGTAGATTCTTACTATTTACCTCACACTGAAGTCATTACTTCTAGTTGTGTGGTAATTCTGGTCCAAATCTGTATGGATTGGCATGATGATGTATAGTCAAAGGAGATGGCTCAAGCACATACAGATCTGGGACCAGGGCGTGGTAAGGCTCATGGCTGGGTAACAGGACGACATGCTCAGCAAACAGTGAGGAACATTGTGTTTAGTTGAGCAATGTGATCACTGCCAATAGAGATCCTATTAAATTACTAGAGGGGCTATGTCATAAAACCGAAAAAGTTCCAGAATGGGGTGAAAATGGCAGCCATATTGGTCAGGGAGAAATCCAAATCAGTCTATTTAGAATTAATGGCAGTAGAGGCATCATCCTGATTTTACTTACGCAGGAAAGGAAAATAAAAGTAAGACGTGATATATAAAAAATGGTGTAATAGAATTATTGTCAAACTAAAAGTGTAATATAATTATAAATGCAGTTTGTATGGGTTATATACCCATTTTCTGTATAGATAGACTCTAAAATATATGTGTGAGTGCTATTATATGATGCAATATGAGTACTTGTTGCATTTACAACTTGTCTAAGTCCTATCATCAACAGATTTCAGCCAGTGTATGACTGTGGATTGACTGCATTGTTTGAATGGAATATTGGCATAATGGCAGTTCATTTTTTTAAATTTATGGAATCATTCCTCTAAAACTGGCTGGCTAGCTAGCTACAGTGCGGATACATTCTTCAAATTCATTATTTTACCCAGGGGTTGGAACCGGTTCAGGGAACAGAACAGAAAACCTGAAAATAACAACTTTTTTTGAGTAACAGAATCAGAAACGGGAACCAAAGAGATCTATACTGTTCCGGAACAGAACCGTCATTTGAAAAGCATGGGAACCAGATAATAACGTTATTTTACATTCCAGGCATTTCTTTTCAGTCCCACAAATAACGCAACAAGGTGCATATGCCAAAGCCCTCACTCTGTCACTCAGAAACTTATTCCAGTGTCTGCCTGCCAGCTGAACATCTTTACCAGTGTGTGTGTGTGTAGGCTACCTGCCCCTCCTCCTCCGAAGCTTAGTCTATTAGCCTACTGATGTTACAAGTGTGATTAAGAAATTAGGGAGAGATTTTTTATTAGAGAAGAATGGATTAACCTTTTCAGTGCTATTTACGTATACTATAGTTATCACATTTCACATTGGATTTATTAACTACAAAAAGGTAAGACGTGTTTTTAATTCTGGTGCCGCTCTGCACACACAAGCATGTTAGCTAGCTAGCTCTGGTCCAACTCTCGGAAGTTCAAAGACATTCAATGTTCCTCCATAGAAGCCGCTCCTCCGTAGGTATAATTCTGTGGGCCTAACTCAGATAATGCATGTCATAACAAGATGCCCAGCTCTTCAAGCCAAGCCTCCTCCTCCACCCTCTCTCTCCCACACCCGGCCTCAAAATTTAAGTAGCATCTCGCGCCCTACACTTGGTTGTCCATCACGCATGTAAACAACTATAGACTAGGCAGCCGATATCCGAAAGCACTATCGTCTGCCTAGGCTAAAACAACTATAGCTTTCCCGCTCCATAGCAACCTGCTCTATCTGCAGTGAAGTAATTCAATGTTGAGCTAATGTTTTTTTGTTTTTTTTATATCGGAACAGTTAGGGGTGTAACGATTCGTTTTAACAACGATTCGATTTGTATCACGATTCGTGGTTGTCGATACGATTCAAGGACGATATTGGTTCATTTAGAACGATACGATCCGAAACGATTCAGTGACTTGAAATCGATTCAGTAACCTTTTAGTCAAAAATTCAACCAGTGTGACTGAAATAAATACCTGGTAACCAGTTGCATTTTAATGGCTGGCAATAGTCTTGATATTTTTAACAGTGTTTCATGCCTCCATGCAGACCATCTGGTATTATGAAACTTACCCATACCTACGTTGACAGCAGCCCCGTAAAGTCTCACAAGTCCGTCTGTTATGGCCTGTGCGGTTCGGTCAGCACCCAATTCAATCAGTCCAATAAAGTCCGAAGTAAACTCTCCGTTGCTGGACACAGACACAATGTAAACTATTTCCTGCTCAGTTTTTGTGATGTCCTCAGATCCATCAAAAAGCATTCAGTAAAGGAACATCCTCAGAATAGGAAGACATGGGACGTGCGTGTTTAGCTTTATGCATTTATTCTCGGCTAGCTTTTAGCAATGGCTTGCGCCACATTCGTGTGCTCCTTGCTCTTTTCATGTTGGTCAAATAAAGGATGGTTGAAATTCTTTGAGCCTTTATAAAATGCACCTGTTTTGTCTGCTAGATGTGGATTTGAGCGGCAAATCTTGCACCACATTTCAGTGCGCTCATCGTTAGCTTCAAGCCACTGCACATCTTGGAGCCACTTTTCCGAAAAAATAATTTTCTTCGGCTCTGGCTCCAGTTGGCGTTTCTTTGTAGGTGGCGAAACGCCAAAAAGGCTGCTTAATGTCTGTTGCTTTTTGGACATCCCTGACAGTAGTTGACAAGCAACATGTCATGTGTAAGGTTAGATGAGAAGATCGGTCAAGTACGCAAAGGCACGTAGTAATTTGTCGCGCTTGCGTATCTGCGTACCAGTTATGTGCACCCCTGCATATAAAGTCTGACGTGCTTAAATCCAATGGGTTATTTCCTAGTATCGATACAATCGATTTATTACATTTTAAAACGATGTTAGATCGATATACAGTGGGGGAAAAAAGTATTTAGTCAGCCACTATTTGTGCAAGTTCTCCCACTTAAAAAGATGAGAGAGGCCTGTAATTTTCATCATAGGTACACGTCAACTATGAAAGACAAATTGAGAAAAAAAAATCCAGAAAATCACATTGTAGGATTTTTTATGAATTTATTTGCAAATTATGGTGGAAAATAAGTATTTGGTCACCTACAAACAAGCAAGATTTCTGGCTCTCACAGACCTGTAACTTCTTCTTTAAGAGGCTCCTCTGTCCTCCACTCGTTACCTGTATTAATGGCATCTGTTTGAACTTGTTATCAGTATAAAAGACACCTGTCCACAACCTCAAACAGTCACACTCCAAACTCCACTACGGCCAAGACCAAACAGCTGACAAAGGACACCAGAAACGAAATTGTAGACCTGCACCAGGCTGGGAAGACTGAATCTGCAATAGGTAAGCAGCTTGGTTTGAAGAAATCAACTGTGGGAGCAATTATTAGGAAATGGAAGACATACAAGACCACTGATAATCTCCCTCGATCTGGGGCTCCACGCAAGATCTCACCCCGTAGGGTCAAAATGATCACAAGAACGGTGAGCAAAAATCCCAGAACCACACGGGGGGACCTAGTGAATGACCTGCAGAGAGCTGGGACCAAAGTAACAAAGCCTACCATCAGTAACACACTACGCCGCCAGGGACTCAAATCCTGCAGTGCAAGACGTGTCCCCCTGCTTAAGCCAGTACATGTCCAGGCCTGTCTGAAGTTTGCTAGAGTGCATTTGGATGATCCAGAAGAGGATTGGGAGAATGTCATATGGTCAGATGAAACCAAAATATAACTTTTTGGTAAAAACTCAACTCAACTCGTGTTTGGAGAACAAAGAATGTTGAGTTGCATCCAAAGAACACCATACCTACTGTGAAGTATGGGGGTGGAAACATCATGCTTTGGGGCTGTTTTTCTGCAAAGGGACCAGGACGACTGATCCGTGTAAAGGAACGAATGAATGGGGCCATGTATCGTGAGATTTTGAGTGAAAACCTCCTTCCATCAGCAAGGGCATTGAAGATGAAACATGGCTGGGTCTTTCAGCATGACAATGATCCCAAACACACCGCCCGGGCAATGAAGGAGTGGCTTCGTAAGAAGCATTTCAAGGTCCTGGAGTGGCCTAGCCAGTCTCCTGATCTCAACCCCATAGAAAATCTTTGGAGGGAGTTGAAAGTCTGTGTTGCCCAGCGACAGCCCCAAAACATCACTGCTCTAGAGGAGATCTGCATGGAGGAATGGGCCAAAATACCAGCAACAGTGTGTGAAAACCTTGTGAAGACTTACAGAAAACGTTTGACCTGTGTCATTGCCAACAAAGGGTATATAACAAAGTATTGAAAAACTTTTGTTATTGACCAAATACTTATTTTCCACCATAATTTGCAAATAAATTCATAAAAAATCCTACAATGTGATTTTCTGGATTTTTTTTCTCATTTTGTCTGTCATAGTTGACGTGTACCTATGATGAAAATTACAGGCCTCTCTCATCTTTTTAAGTGGGAGAACTTGCACAATTGGTGGCTGACTAAATACTTTTTTCCCCCACTGTATGTTGTCCAAAAGGCCAACTCGCCGCGCACAGATCGATGTAGTTGGATCATATGAATATAAATCGATACATCGATGTAGTAGATGAATCGTTACACCCCTAGGAACAGTGTAACGGAACAAAAAAATTATGGTTCTGTTAAGAACTAAACGATTGGAAAATAATTTCCGTTACAACCCCTTACACAATATCTTATCACAGCACTGGCAAACCACAGGTTGACCAACTCCCTGACCAAAATGGCTGACCTTTATCCCATCATAAGGTTCAAGACCATTCTAGAATTCTAATTCCTAAATCTATGTTACTGCCACACGAGGGAAGGATTCTAATAAGTAGGAGAGGAGTAACAGAGGAAGTAGTCCTGTCCGCACACTGCAAAGATAATGGCCGGACTCATCTATCAGAACTATACTTTTGTTAATGTATAGTTAAACTATACAAGGTGCAACATTTGAAAGGTGATAGAGTAAGGAGAGCGAGCTTTCCAAAATCACATACTTTTTTGTAAGTCATTTTGTTGGAACGACACACTGATTATTGATTGATTAATTACATTGATTACATTATTTATGTCTGACCTACATTAGTTGCTTCATTGTAACCTTTATGATGTATTACTTTGACTGATAGGAATCTGAGAGACAATAAGTTGTCAACACTGTCCTGGAGGACATTCCTAAACTTTAACATTACATCTTTGTAAGTACCTATCCCTATCTACTATGTTATGTCATGTGACTTATTTTATAGATAAACAGCCTATAAATATGTGATTGCAGTCGTGGTCAAAAGTTTTGAGAATGACACAAATACTAATTTTCACAAAGTCTACTGCCTCAGTTTTGATGATGGCAAATTGCAAATACTCCAGAATGTTATGAAGAGTGATCAGATGAATTGCAATTAATTGCAAAATCCCTCTTTGCCATGAAAATTAACTTAATCCCCCAAAAACATTTCCACTGCATTTCAGCCCTGCCACAAAAGGACCAGCTGACATCATGTCAGTGATTCTCTCGTTAACACAGGTGAGAGTGTTGACGAGGACAAGGCTGGAGATCACTCTGTCATGCTGATTGAGTTAGAATAACAGACTGGAAACTTTAAAAGGAGGGTGGTGCTTGAAATCATTGTTCTTCCTCTGTTAACCATGGTTACCTGCAAGGAAACACGTGCCGTCATCATTGCTTTGCACAAAAAGGGCTTCACAGGCAAGGATATTGCTGCTAGTAAGATTGCACCTAAATCAACCATTTATCGGATCGTCAAGAACTTCAAGGAGAGAGGTTCATTGTTGTGAAGAAGGCGTCAGGGCGCCCAAGAAAGTCCAGCAAGCGCCAGGACCGTCTCCTAAAGTTGATTCAGCTGCGGGATCGGGGCACCACCAGTGCAGAGCTTGCTCAGGAATGGCAGCAGGCAGGTGTGAGTGCATCTGCACGCACAGTGAGGCAAATACTTTTGGAGGATGGCCTGGTGTCAAGAAGGGCAGCAAAGAAGCCACTTCTCTCCAGGAAAAACATCAGGGACAGACTGATATTCTGCAAAAGGTACAGGGATTGGACTGCTGAGGACTGGGGTAAAGTCATTTTCTCTGATGAATCCCCTTTCCGATTGTTTGGGGCATCCAGAAAACACCTTGTCCGGAGAAGACAAGGTGAGCGCTACCATCAGTCCTGTGTCATGCCAACAGTAAAGCATCCTGAGACCATTCATGTGTGGGGTTGCTTCTCAGCCAAGGGAGTGGGCTCACTCACAATTATGCCTAAGAACACAGCCATGAATAAAGAATGGTACCAACACATCCTCCGAGAGCATCCAAGAACAGTTTAGTGACGACCAATGCCTTTTCCAGCATGATGGAGCACCTTGCCATAAGGCAAAAGTGATAACTAAGTGGCTTGGGGAACAAAACATCAACATTTTGGGTCCATGGCCAGGAAACTCCCCAGACCTTAATCCCATTGAGAACTTGTGGTTGATCCTCAAGAGGCGGGTGGACAAACAAAAACCCACAAATTCTGACAAACTCCAAGCATTGATTATGCAAGAATGGGCTGCCATCAGTCAGGATGTGGCTCAGAAGTTAATTGAAAGCATGCCAGGGCGGATTGCAGAGGTCTTGAAAAAGAAGGGTCAACACTGCAAATATTGACTCTTTGCATAAACTTAATGTAATTGTCAATAAAAGCCTTTGACACATATGGAATGCTTGTAATTATACTTCAGTATACCATAGTAACATCTCACAAAAATATATCATAACACTGAAGCAGCGAACTTTGTGAAGACCAATACTTGTGTCATTCTCAAAACTTTTGACCACGACTGTACTATATGTGTGTGTGTTAATGCTCTGTTTTTGTCCTCTAGTCCTCTCCTGTCTGGTAACCCTCTGGAGTGTGTATGTGAGAACATGTGGATCAAACTGAGGCTGCAAGAGGACATTGACAGTTCAGAGAGTCAAGAGCTGAAATGCATAGACGACAGTGGAGTGAGGAGGGCCATCTCCAGATTCTTTCTCCCTGATTGTGGTAATACCAACCCCTGAGACAGACAGGGAACTACACTGGAGAGAGAGCGAGAGAGAGAGAGAGAGAGAGAGAGAGAGAGTTTATGGAACATTGAAGAGCATTGAGGAGCTTACTAAAATGCCAGTGTACTGCCTTGAGTTTTCTTTTCAAATGTCAGTAAACAGCTTGAAGTAGAAATCAAGTGAAGGTCACTTAGGTGCGACTTGTACAGTATAACAATGTTGTTAAAAGTTCTGTTTGCGTTTGTCTCACAGAGGCTCCCGCAGTGGAGGTCAGTCCCTCTATCTTCACAAAGACGGAGGGAAGTGATGTCACAGCAGTGTGCAGTGCAACAGGGTCTCCTGCTCCTGAGATCTCGTGGAATTTGGACACCCTCTTCACCAGCTATGAGGTGAGATGATGTTCTTTGTTTTGGCATATTATGATGGCACAACCCTCTGACTATTACTAAGGCTAGGATGATGAGGCCATGTTGTCAGGGAATAACTCCTGGCTTTATATGTAACTGAACCCATAACGCTACATTTTATTCATTATTTTACATGAAACTTAGTGAGTGCATACATTTTTCATACTGGCCCCCCGTGGGAAACGAACCCACAACCCTGGCGTTGAAAGCGCCATGCTCTACCAACTGAGCTACAGGGGAAGAGCAATATATCATTTTATTATCATAATAACAGCACATTATTCCATACTTTTATAAGGTGTTTTAGAATTTACACAATGATTTGTTATTTACTGTATTTACCGCGTAATATATGTAACTATTAATACTACTACTAATTCTAACGCTAATAATGCTAAATGTATTTACAGGTCAATGTCTTGGAGCTGCAGAGCAATCTGACGCTGTCAGGTCTCTCGCCTTCGGACAACGGCAGAGTGATCACTTGCAATGTTGAGAATGTAGTCGGCCAAACCGAGGCTTACCTCCTACTCAACATCCTCTGTAAGGACGTGTTCTGTTGTGTTGAGTACATGTACCTTTTTTATTTTAATTTTATTCTGGCACTGTGGTTGCAAAATGCAAAGTCATTTTCACTGATTATTCTACAGTGGCATTTAATCCTGGATCTGTAGCATCCTTGTATTTGTGGTCTACATTCTGAAAGACTTCCTCTGGTGGCTCTGTGTCCTTACTGAAAGAATGAGTGTCTCACTTTTCCTTTAGTACTGTCCACTATCCCTCAACAATCTGATTGACTCTACATGTCTTCTGTCACCTTGCCATACTCTTCTGCTCCTCAGTGCCTTACCATACCCTCCCTCCTGTCCAGCCCTCCCATTGCACTCCCCCAGACCTCCTTCCTCGTGTCTAGCACCCATTCCCAGTACCCTGTGACTATTCTTCCTTTCCTGTTCCTGTTGTCTCTGTGTCAGTTTGCCCCACTATCCTGGAGCTGCTGGAGCCATTGAGACTCCACCACTGGTGTATCCCCTTCAGTGTGACCGGGAACCCCAAGCCCAAGCTGCAGTGGTACCACCAGGACCAGGAGCTCCACGAACAGGAGTATATCAAGACTGAGATCCACGAGAGCCTTGGGAGCGTTCACCATGGCTGCCTGCAGCTTGCCAACCCGACTCATATCCACAACGGGCAGTATACGCTGGTGGCCAGCAACGAGTTCGGGGAGGACCGGAAAGTAATCGACGCCCACTTCCTGCTCCCGCCAGATGAGGGCGACTATCCCTCAGGTCTCACTCCTGTTCAATTTATAGTTACTGTAATTCTATATAAGATGTTATATAATCAATATATAAGCTGTTTTATATACTCAGAAAAAAAAGTGTGCTATGTAGAACCATCTGTCCCCATAGGACCTGAAAAAAGTTTCCAGATAGAACCCTTTCAGGTCAGATAAAACCCTTTTTGGTTACAAATAGCATCCTTTCAAGGGTTTTATTTGGAACCAGAGACTCTATGTGGAAGCAAAAATTGTTATATGTGACCTGAAGTCTCCTACGGGGACAAATGGTTCTACATAGCACTCTTTTTTTTCTGAGAATATACTGTTTTCTGTGTAGCATGGTATATGTAATGGATGTGTATGAATAACACGTAAATTCCCTTTTTTCAGAACAGCCATATTACCCTTGTAAGTATTTCTTAAGACGTTGCAATTTTGCTAAGAATTACCAAAATGTGCTGTTACAGAGACATGTATGCATTCTTTTTTCTCTTGACATGACATTAAGTTTAAGAGTTTAGGGATAATGACAGATTGATGACTCCTGCCTTGTCATAATTTCAATGTCCTCTGTCCACTGCTCGTCCTGTGCTGTGGATGTCATCACAATGCTGCTCCTCAGACACCACTGGTATGTGCTTGAACTTTGAAATCCTGTGGTCAACATTACATGACATAGCTAATTGAATTGAATTGAATTTATTTTGGGTAACAGACATATACAACAAAATGTACAATGTGGACCCAGAGGATATCACTTCAAAGTATTAATTAAAACGCTTGTTTGCAAAGTCGTCCTCGATGGTAAAACAATAACACATATAATGATTAAAAGGCAAGACAAACAACCATAAATACATTCATTTATATTGATATCCTAAAAAGTGTCACTATTCACTGCACTTTTCCCTAACCTTAAAAATCAACCATATTAATTTCACTTTAAAACAATCTATTCATGGCACATCATACCTATCATTCAAATAAATACACCTGACCAGCAGTAGGGGGCACAAAGGGCAGTGGAGTGGTTTCTCTTACTTAGACAACATTGTCCTAATGAAAATGCCTGCTTTTTAAAGCTATTTCTACTTTTTCTTTGCTTGATCTCCAAGGGGAGGCTATTCCATAGAAAAATGTCTGTATAGAAAAACACTAGCTCTGGTATTGTAACTGTGTTGGTTATAGACCATATCAATGTGGTTTTTCATATAACCTGGGGCAAGATCATTTAAGATGTCAAACATATGATTAAGTTTAAGTTGGTCCACTTTGGACTCCAAAGGCAACAAGCCTCCTAGGGGGAACATTCAGCATATACCTGATAACATTCATTTGCATGACCTGCATTCTCCACTTTACCAAGCAGAGCAGGCATAATCAAAATGACACTGAATCAAGGTTGAGACAAGCAGTTTTTTAACTTTAATGTTAAAATATCTAGTGTTACGATATAAACATTACAATTTGTTTGCCATTTTAGAAAGAATTTTAGCAGCAATCATGTCTCCAGAAAGGGATTGATCTAGGGACACACCAAGATAAGTCACACTTGTTTTAGATTCAATCTCATTGCCTGCACAGTTTACCTTTATCTTGTCAGCCCTAAACAATCTATGTTTTGTTCCAAACTAAATAGATTCAGTTTTTCCCAAATGTAGCGACAATTTGTTGTCATTCAACCAATCTCTAACAAAATGCAATTCCTTACTCAGGGTCTCCTCTATGTAAACTGTATCCTTACCTGATACCAGTATGGCTGAGTCATCAGCATAAAGCAGGAGTTTGCACTTTACTGTATCTGGCATATCATTAACGTATATAAGAAATAAGAGAGGCCCTAAAATGTATCCCTGCGGTACTCCACAGTATATTTCTTTGGCCTCTGACAGAACATCACCAACATTACATACTTGAGTTCTGTTGGTCAGATAACACCTAAACCAATTCACTGCTACATCATTTAGACCCATGCATTTCAGTTTCATCAGGAGAATATCTTTAACACACCTTTAATACTGTACATATCCCAACCAGACAGTATTTTCAGCGTTTGAGAGGAAAGGAGATTAGATGATGTACTTCAATGTAGATGTTTGTATGTTTAATGCTGTTTTCATTCTGTATTAAATATGACTTGTCTTTTTCTCTCAGACTCACCACTACCCCCAATAGATGACAGTGTTGCAGTAAGTTAACATACACGCCATCATTTGTCATGCATGGTTATTTATATACAGTATTATAATGTAGTGCACTGAAATTGGCAGGTATTTTATGTTGTTGAATGGTGTTTTCCCAGGTGTACGTAGTGGTGGGAATCGCTGGCGTGGCATTAATTGTATGTGTTCTGATGGTGATCATTCTGAAATACGGAAGAAACTCAAAGTTTGGGATGAAGGGTAAGCTTTTTCTTTAATCTTAGTTAAGTCGTTTTTCAGACCTGTATTAAGACTTGCAGGACTCAAGTCATTTAAATGATAATGAACATCATGCACATTTCTACAGTCTATTTAGTCCCACCACATTCCAGCTTAGATTTTGCCACATAACAACATACAGAAGTCAAACATGAAAAAGACCTCTTCCACTCCTGTCATAATTATATTTCCTACCACTGGGCTCCTCCTCAGGCTCCTCCTCCTCGGTCATCAGTAACGACGATGACTCAGCCAGTCCTCTTCATCACGTCTCCAACGGCAACAACACCCCGTCGTCCTCGGAGTTGAGCCACGATGCGGTGATCATTGGAATGACAAAGATCCCTGTCATCGAGAACCCGCAGTATTTCCGCCAATCTGGCAGCATGCTGAAATCGGACACGTGTGAGTTACCGTGTCGCGGAGGTCTGCTGGTGGTGTAACTCAGTCTTTTTCTGATAAATCCATGACAGGGACACTGCGACTGGACTGTCTTCTCCGTCGACTTCCTGTCTGATGTTACTATGGTGATGACTTTGGTTGACCTCTTGCAGTTAATGCTGCTGTATCAGACTACGGTAGAGGGGCTATCACTCAGTGGAGGCTGCTGAGAGGAGGACGGCTCATAATAATGGCTGGAATGGAGTCAATGGAATGGTATCAACCACATGGAAACCACGTGTTTGATGTGTTTGATACCATTCCATTGACTCCATTCCATCCATTATTATGAGCCGTCCTCCCCTCAGCAGCATCCACTGCTATCACTAGACAGACATTCTGACCATAGATAGCTGTGGTAAACACAGACAAACACATCTGACTATTGCACTTGTTGCCCTGTGAGAAATGTAGTTATGTTAATGGCTACCATAATGGGATACCATACTGGTCTGACAAGCGAACAGTACATCATTGTATTTTCGTCTGTGTATATCCTCTAAACAGCAGTAGACTAGGGCTGTTGCTATAGCTTCAGTGTATGCAATGAGTAGGGCCAGGAGGTTTTCCTGACCTCTTGACCTGACTAATTATAACTTGGGCCCAGAGGTTTTCCTGGTCAGTTCACCCTTAGTAATGGGCCTTGTATGGGCCTTTTGCCGGCAGGTAGCCTAAAGCGTTGGGCCAGTAACCGAGCCGATATGTCGAAAATCTGTTAATGTGCCCTTGAGCAAGGCACTTAACTCTAATTTGTTCCAGGGGTGCCGTACTCCTATGGCTGACCCTGTAAAACAACACATTTCACTGCACCTATCTGGTGTATGTGACAAAACATCATCTTTTTTAAATAGCTTAACTGTGTCTCTCTTTACATCCCAGTTGTCCAGCACATCAAGAGACACAACATTGTGCTGAAGCGTGAGCTGGGAGAGGGGGCCTTTGGGAAGGTGTTTCTGGCTGAGTGCTACAACCTGACCCCAGATCAGGAAAAGATCCTGGTGGCCGTCAAGGTAAAGTACGGCCCTCCACGCAGTTATTTCAAACAATCAACACACACTTTACAAAGGTCAAATGCTGAAACGATGGGTCTTTTGTTCTGGCTTTGATATATAAAAAACATTTTTTTTTTGCTGTTTGTGCTTTTCAATACAATCTGAGTGTTATATTGTATGTACATTGTTTTGGATTATAGCACCACAAACTAATATCTCTTTGGATTGATTTGAACTTTGTAGGAAAGAGACTTTGAAACAATCAACAATCCCAGCAATCAATTATGATAATTGTGTGTGCGTATGTGTGCGTGCGCATCCCTGTCCTCCTCAGACGTTGAAAGAAGGCAGCGAGAGCGGCCGTGCTGACTTCCACCGGGAGGCGGAGCTACTGACCAACCTGCAGCATGAGCACATCGTCACCTTCTACGGCGTGTGTGTGGACAGCGACCCGCTCATCATGGTGTTCGAGTACATGAAACACGGCGACCTCAACAAGTTCCTCAGGTACCGTCCTGTGTCCCGATGTCTACCTTTGTCCATTCTTCCTGTGTACTGTATTCAAAAGAAAGTAATAAGACGAGGTTATGTGGAACTTTGGCACATATGTTAGTGTGATGGTGATACTGTATTTGAATTAAAACTGGATAACTGCATTGCAATGCAAGCGAATGAGTTTGCACTTATCCTCCTCTGTTGTCAACTGTAGGTAACTATAGTTTGCATTGTGTCTGACCCACCTGTGTTGTGGTGCAGGTCCCATGGTCCTGACACGGTGCTGATGGCTGATGGGCAGCACAGCCTAATGGTGGAGCTGACCCAGTCCCAGATGCTGCACATCGCCCAGCAGATTGCTGCAGGCATGGTCTACCTGGCCTCCCAGCACTTTGTCCACAGAGACCTGGCCACACGCAACTGTCTGGTGGGAGAGAACCTGCTGGTCAAGATTGGGGACTTTGGCATGTCCAGGGACGTGTACAGCACCGACTACTACAGGGTGAGTCTAACACACACACACACACACACACACACACCACACACACACACACACACACACATACAAGCGGGACAGGAATACTCTCAAGTGTATAATTGGAACTTTGTTCTGGTTTTGGTTTGTAACAGCCGTGCAGTTACAGCAATAGTCATTTTAACTATAAATATTTAATCTATTTTTAATGCCATTTAAATGCAAATTCTATAATCTGCATATAAGTGCTGTTTCCATGGTTATAGGGGGCAACAGTGCAAATTGCAGTTTTTTCCCTGAGCAAGGAGTTCATGGTTGACTTTGCGTTTAAGCCGCGATGCTAATTTAGCTGTGAATTCTACTACACTGTTTTCAGGCAAGTCTGTTTTTTTTACTGCTCTTAAAATACCAAGATTTCATGAACACTCCTCTCCTTATCACTTCTATCCAGTATCGAACCCATTTCATATAATGTGAGGAAAAAATGGTCTACCATAGCAGATAGCCTGGTAGGCTAGCCCAATCTGTTTCTGCTTTACCCAACTCCTTTGTTGTTGTAATGCTAAACTGGCATGGTATTGGCTAGTTAAAGCACAAACGACCAGGCTAACGGCTATCTGCTACTATCTAGCCTACACTAGAATAGTATAGACAACGCTACAGACATTACAGATAGTAATCTTAAACCAGTAATATGATTTGACTGTTAGATCCAGACATGTTCTGTCTCCCAGTCAGCCCCAGTCCTAGGGTCTGTGTAGACAACAGTACCCTCTGCTGCTCACTGGCCCTCCCTGGGGAGAATCAATACAAAATAGATGAATGTAACTGAGACCCATCATCCCCCAATCAGATAGCAGCATATGAATAGGCCCACTCACTAATACACAGATAGAAAGACCAAGAATGCGGCTGAACAGCACTTGGCTCAACACATGGAAAGATTTGCCACTTATCGTAAACTGACAATCATGATGTCAATATCAGCCATGGCAGAAGATTGTTAATACCAATACAGGCAAAAAATGAATTGTGTAAGTTGGGCTTAAATACATTTTTTTTTACATATCACATCATGACATTGCATTCCACGAAAACTCTAGTCCCACACACAATACACATTTGTGTACATGTCATGTTCTTATCATGAATATTGTATATTCTTCCTTTAACCAATGGCCTTATCGTGTATGTTGGTTACTGACCTGACAAACTTAGTCCTTTCAGCTCCTTGTGGAGCGAAGTGACTCAACAACACCTATCCGTTTAACTCCTTCTTGGGGGTAGTTTCTTTACTTCACTACCGTTTGTTCCAACCTTCATCATCTCTTCTTCATTTTACCATCTCTGTGGTTTTCCTGGATGGTTCCTGATGGATCCTTTGTCTGTTTCCAGGTGGGTGGTCACACCATGCTGCCCATCCGCTGGATGCCTCCAGAGAGCATCATGTACCGGCGGTTCACCACGGAGAGCGACGTCTGGAGTCTAGGCGTTGTCCTCTGGGAGATCTTCACCTATGGGAAGCAGCCCTGGTACCAGCTCTCCAACAATGAGGTCAGTAGTCTCTTATGACAGACAGCAGCACTCGATGGGATTTGGTTCTGGGTTCCGAGATGACAAGGTCAGAGACACAAGCTCAAACCTTTCCTAAAGTAGATTGACTACACTGGTACCATAGCTAGGGCCCTGTGTTTTGGACAGTCATGTCACATGACCTGGATTTTAACATTTTATTTAAAGCTTTTTCAACAAACTGTCCCCTTTCATTTTTATGTCAGATCATCCGGCACTACCCTCAGACAATTGCTTTCATTTTTGGTGTAATTCTCATTTCTGGAAAAAACTTAAAATAAAGGTAAAACATTTAGGTCATGTGACATGATAGCCCAGAACACAGGGCCCTAACCATAGCACCTGACCTCCAATTATGAGATTTATTGACAAATCTCCAAACACATCACTCTGCTGTCATCTCTTTTTCAAATCTTATTTACAGTAGGTCACATTCGTATTGTCCATATAGATTTGAAATGTATGCGTTATGAATATATATTTCCAGACAATCTATTATATAAACCAGGGCTAATATGTCTATGAGTCTGAAAAACGTTCACCTTGGTGAACCTCACATTTGTTTAGATGCTGTTGTTGTCATAGCAATGCCTTCCTTAATTGCCCCTGTGGGGATAAATAAATTTAATTTGAATTAAATTGAAAAAGTACCGACCAGTGGTAGTGACCCGTGGTGCTCCCCCTACAGGTGATCGAGTGCATCACCCAGGGGCGCGTGCTGCAGCGGCCGCGTTCTTGTCCAAAGGAGGTGTACGACCTGATGCTGAGCTGCTGGCAGAGAGAACCCTACATGAGACTCAACATCAAGGAGATTCACAGCCTGCTCCAGAGTCTGGCCAAGGCCTCGCCTGTCTACCTGGATATACTGGGCTGAGTGAGTCTGGTCGGCTCTGTTTGTGTATGGGTGGGAATGAGGGTGGAGTTGTGTGCGTGCGTGTGTGTGTGTGTGTGCGCGTGTGTGAGCATACTGTATGTGTTTGTGCGGGTGCTGACTGTGCTTCTGCCTCCTCATCACATAGACAAAAGCCTTACATTTGATTGCGATTTCTTTTCCTTCTCCATTTAAAAAACGCATAGGACCCGTTTCTCAAACCCAGATTAAAAGAATCCAGGAGTAGGCCCAACTCTGGTTTAGTTCATCAAGAGCAAAAAATATGATTTCGTGAACATAAATTAACCTTGAATTACATACTCCTGGACTGGACTGTGACTGGGACTTTTTAAATGAAGATTAATAATAGTCAAAGAATAATTGAATAATGTCCTTGAAACCAAATGATCAGTAATCTTGATTAAATTGTAATTTAGTCAAGGAGTAGGCCTAATCTGGGTCAGCGAAACAGATCCTTAATGTACATTGTATTATTGTACTCTTCTTGTACACTGTGTTTGCTGGTGATAAACCAAGGGAAAATGACTGCGTGTCAAAATCATCATGGACAATGTATGGACACTTGCCAACAAGGATACAGCTTTTCCTTTTTCCACCTAACATGAGGAGGAACATCTCATGTGGAGCGACATATAAAGTTGAGACGTGCAAAGAAAACTAAACCCAGTGCAATGAAGTAAGGCTTACCGCTTATATAGATGTCATGGACTATTTTTATGATGTGAGAACTTTCTAATTGATGTCAGGGGCTCTTGACTCTGTTGTTTTCATGTTACGTCACGTCTTTACATTTTGATTTGTGATTGGACTCTGTTGTCATCATGGCCAACCAGAGCCCAGGACTTATAATGACTTCATAACACATTCATAACATATACATACCACATTCATAAGCAGTATGTAAGCATAACATGAATGCTTTTTCCCCATGTAGTTATGAAATGCTAATGTACTGCTTATGAATGCAGTATGTAAGGTTATGAATGTTATGTTAAGTCTCTATGTAGGTACCCTCAGTCCAGAGAGAACGAGAGCCATTCATCCACACAACCAACATCGTTAATCCCTTGAGTGTTAATATACATATGTGCATATTAAGAAAACACTTTTCAATGTTATAAAAATAAGGGTTGACCTTTTAAAAGATGGGCATCTCTATGCCATATTTATAAATCATTTTTCTGAATTATTTTCTTTTTTTAAATGAATGTTTTCTGGTTGTGGTTCATTATCAGTGTTATTTTCTATCTGATTCTATTTTGCTAGCTACTGACATTGTCAATTTCCATGTAGAACGTGTTGGTGTTTTGAATGTGGTTAGAATGCGCTACACATGTCACAGTCTTAACTGGATAACTAAAGCACAGTGAAAAATATCCCAGTATTAAGTTGGAACATGGAGGAACTTTAAGTTGCCTCAACTCAAATCACAGCAGTATGGAAGTTGAGCATAGCATAACATTGTCTTTTTGTTTTGTTGTTTGTGAAGAGCACATTCACCAGCAATGTCTTAGCTAGAACATTCCTTTTATCCTCCACCGTATGATTCTATTGGCGGCCCGTAACTGTACTACACTGTTTGTTTTGCATTTTCAAATGTTGTTGTTGAGGTTGTTGTCGTGATAAGATGTTACAGTATATTGAAGCTGATAGGAAATGATGGACTTTGCCTTTGAGGATATTTGATTTATTTCAGCTGTATTTGTGGGGAATCGAGTATTGGCGCTGCTCTTAGTATGAGCTTAGGGTTTTCTGGTAGAATGCCCTATTCAGCTATTTATGCTCTTAAATTACTAATTTACTTGTTTCCATTATGTATATCATATTATTCGGAACCAGGATGTGATATTCTGTGATCTTACATTGATTGATATATATATATCATATCCTATAACAGGGTTCCCCAACTGGCGGCCGTGGGTCGAATTTAGGAAATCTGTTCCAAAGTATTCCCACGCATAATACAGAAATATATGTGACCGTATACAAACGTAAGCAAGGTCTGGGCTTCTTGCGGTCAATTTGTAGTCTACTAATTATTAGTAATTATGTTCCGGCCCTCTGACCATCCGCTCAAGAAAAAATCAGCCCGCGGCTGAATCTATACTGAACAAAAATATAAATGCAACATACAACAATTTCAACGATTGTATTGAGTTACAGTTCATATAAGGAAATCAGTCAATTGAAATAAATTCATTAGGACCTAATCTATGAATTTCACATGACTGGGCAGGGGCGCAGCCATGGATGGGCCTGGGAGGGCATAGGCCTACCAACTTGGGAGCCAGGCCCAGCCAACAAAAAGAACAACAAAAATAAATCTTAAATTCATAATTCCAAACAGTCGATTTCTGAGTGGATAAACTATTGTAAGTATCGTCTGCATCTTTCTCCACAAAAGGGCTTTATTACAGACAGAAATACTCCTCAATTTCATTGTCTGGGTGGCTGGTCTCAGGTAGCTTAGTGGTTAAGAGCGTTGTGCCAGTAACCGAAAGGTCGCTGGTTCTAATCCCCGAGCCGACTAGGTGAAAAATCTGTCGATGTGCCCTTGAGCAAGGCACTTAACCCTAATTGCTCCTGTAAGTCGCTCTGGTTAAGAGCGTCTGCTAAATGACAAAAAATGTCAAATGTAATGATCCCGCAGGTGAAGAAGCCGGATGTGGAGGTCCTGGTCTGGCGTGGTTACACGTGGTCTGCGGTTGTGAGGCCGGTTGGATGTACTGCCAAATTCTCTAAAACGATGTTGGAGGTGGCTTATGGTAGAGAAATTAACATTAAATTATCTGGCAACAACTCTGGTGGACATTCCTGCAGTCACCATACCAATTGCACGCTCCCTCAAAACTTGTGGCATTGTGTTGTGTGACAAAACTGCACATTTTAGAGTGTCCTTTTATTGTCCTCAGCACAAGGTTCACCTGTGTAATGATCATGCTGTTTAATCAGCCTCTTGATATGCTACACCTGTCAGGTGGATGGATTATCTTGGCAAAGGAGAAATTCTCACTAACAGTAATGTAAACTTTTTTGTGCACAAAATTTGAGATAAATAAGCTTTTTGTGCATATGGACAATTTCTGGGATCTCTTATTTCAGCTCATGAAACATTGGACCAACACTTTACATGTTGAGTTTATATTTTTGTTCAGTGTAGTTGATGATCCTTGTCCTATAAGCTATTGCAATGGTTAGGATCAGTTGTGAGAGTACCTTAAGTCTGATCCCCCATGTTGTACAGTAGAGCTGTGAGGCCTCCTGAACAGCTCCTATCAGGGATGTGATGACTTGGTAACTCTGACAGAGTTGAGGCAGATTATTTTTCTAAGTAAGAGGACCTACATACAGTATGTACCACTATATGATTACCTAAACAACTACCTATCAACTACCATCTCCCCTGCTTTTGACTGAATCTTCATGGTGATCATGCATTCCCTATGATGATGGGTCAATATGGAAAAGGACCATTAATGTCCCAGTGCTCTGCTAAGTGTGTCTGTATGTAAGGTGTTTCAAATCAGATTGTTTCTGCAGTGATATCAATGGAAAGTCTTTCTCTATCTCTATGATGTCTTTACTGGAGTAGGCTAAGGCCAGGATTCAATCCGGACCGCGGAAGATCCACGTTGTAGCGCAGTTGGCATTTAACGGTAATTTCCAATTGAGCCGACATCTGCAGTTTTTACCGCGCTAACTTGCATAGCCGAAAAGGGGCTATCGGATTGAATCTAGGCCTAACTCTTACTCATAAACATGAGCTCTACACTACCGTTTATCAGTGATAATACATAAGCTCCCAGTTCCCATAACCTTTGGCTTTTGATATGGAGATAATCCAGTGCATTAATGTTGCTGAGGCAATAGATTCACTTCATAATGCTCTTTAGTGAGTCAGAAGTGCACACCCAAAGTCCTATGCTTTGAGCCACTGTCAGTTCCATTGTTGTATTAGCACCATCATCACTGTTGCATTCTTCGCTGAACCCCACAAATATCTGCCCTCAGCTATGTTGGACTGTCTGCAACATAACGCTGAAAAAGCGTACATATTTGTTTGGCGACCATGGTCTGTCTTGACCAGTTCCAGTATTTAGTCCGTTCTCTATTATAGTCATGTGTGTCTGCTCTGAATAGTCTGAATCGCCTGTAATCTGCATTCCATTCTGTACAGTTCTTATATTTGTCAAAATTAATAGTATGTTCTATAGTATATTCTGTTTCAAACAGGTACTTTGTCAAAAACGTGTGACAAAAATGTGTTATGGGCCACTGGCAATATGTAAATACAAATGTATTTGTGCTAAAAAAAACACATGTATACTTTATTTGTGCTTGTTCATAATATCACTGAGAATACTATCACATTTTTTTGTGGAACTTTGGAACTCGAGAAGAGATTTCTTAAAACTGTATTTTCTCTATGAAGAAGGAACTAATTCAGTCCTATATCCCAGCTCACCCTGCTTTCCTATCTGGTGGAAGGACCATAGAGGTTATGACTGAGTGATGCTGTCTGTCTGTCTGTCTGTGAGAAGGCCATAGTGTCTAGGTCACCTGGAACGTCGAAGGACCAAATCCAGCGACCAGGTGAACCAATGGGGACGGAGGCCATCATTTCACCACCCAACCACTCATGTCTATCTCTGACTCTGGCCTATTGGTCTTCTTTCAGATTAATAACTGTGACTTCGCATCATGAATAATAGTATATTAATAATAGTATATTATTTTGAATGTAATCTAGAAGGGATGGGACCTTTTTTGAATGTAATCTATTTTGTAAATATGAAAAAGCATAATAGCATTTTTTTCATCCCTGTGCAGATAACATGTTTTACTTGCTGTCTGAATGTTGCGTGAGAGTCAGAGTGTATGCATTCATACGTTTGCGAGTGTCATGCCCCTGAGCTGCGGTGTGTGTATGTGTGTGTTTTTCTCCCAGCAGATTCAAT